GAAGGTGTGGCGCGAAATTTGAATTTGGCGCGGAGTCAGTCATCTTTGAAGCGAATCTTGGAAATGATTTGTATCGTAGAATTCTTGTTAATTTATTAATTTAACTTGCGATATTTATTATCAGTCTCATGACACGTTATATACAGGGTGGATCAGTTAACTATTATAGAACACGTCGAACATTTTTATTTCAAATAAATTGATTTTTCTCGTTATTTTTTGAAATCAATATTTAGGCTACTATTATTATATTGTACATATATTAATATTTAGATAGATATTTAGATCAACCTACCAAAAATAATTCTCCTGAATTTTTTAACGACTAATATTCGAACTAATAAATTACAAGCTTCATAAAATTTAATAAAACATTTAATAAATTCGAGAATTAGGTGAAATCTGGGATACCCTTGTTTAACACTTGAACTACCGATTTATAATGAGAACCTAATTATGATAACCAAAATATCGCACCAAATTGATAACCAAAACAATGAAAATGAAAGAGCATACGTAATTATTAAATATTATTTTGCCAATTAGATTAATTATTATTATATAATATAAATAATAAATAATATAAATAGCGAATAATATAATAATAAATTACAGGCTTAATAAAATACCTCGTATTTAATAAAACATTTAATAAATTCGAGAATTAGGTGAAATCTGGGGTACCCTTCTTTAACACTAGAACTACCGACCTATAATGAGAACCTAAATATCATACCAAATTGATAACCAAAGCAATGAAAATAAAATGAAAATAAAAGAGCGTACATAATTATTAAATATTATTTTGCCAATTAGATTAATTATTATTAATTAAATATTAATATTATTATATTAATATAGTATATTAATTATATATTAATTTTGTCAAAAGCAACTGTAAATTCTCAACAATTGCAAAGATAAAGAGTCTGCGACAAATAATTTCAACCCCCTCGCCAGTGCTAGCGTTAAAATACCTATCTATATGCCATACCCGAGAAGGACGAAGAAGATGGAGCCGGTTTTCATCGCAAAACTTTCGCGCCTGTATCTCTGAACGATATCTCGAACGTTTCCGCGACGTATTCGCGGAAATATCTCCGGTAAGCGAAAAACGCGGCGCGGAAACTGCAAGATGGCTGGGAGAACCGGAGGGCAGGTTCGCGGGCGAGGCTGATACGATCTCGGCCACGGTGCCTTGGGAATCGATCGAGAATCGTTTACGCAACATCGCGGAGCACTGCGAAATAAATCTGAACGTTTAACCCCTTGACGACGGCCTCTGCATCTCGCACGAACCGAGCGTTTTTCACGTGCCGCCGGCATTCTAGAAGAAATACGGTTCTACACGCGTAACAGGTACTCCACGTTCGCGCATTCTTCGCGCAGACCAACGCTCCATATCAAGCTGCTTTCCACGGAGTGGAGAAAGTAAAGTAAAATGCAATTTTTTAGCGATAGCAGTTGGAAACATCGACAATGGACGTTCACTGGTGACCACCGTTGATCCTTTATTCGTATCTCGTTAATTATCGACATTCACACCAATATCAACGGTGAAATAAATATATGCAGGGTATATGGATTGGAAAAGAAATTTATGGGCTTGTTAGATTTGAAAATATATTTATTAGCTGAAGGGGAATTAAAAGTAAAGTAATGTGAGGTTGGAATAGGTACGGTCCTGAGAGAATGCAAATAGTGTTTTGGTTGTAAAATGGTTGTAAAAGAGTGAATGCAGTAGTTTAGGCTAATACCTGCGAGTGCAAGTGGAGGGGCTATTTATAGCTGAGGAATTTTGAGTGAAAGTGAGGAAATGAATCGAGAGAGAGAGGTTGAGGATTAGAATGAAAGAGAATGAATGCGTAAGGGTATACAGGGTGTCAGAGAAGTTCGTGTAAGGCTGTAGTTGTCGTGGAGAGACCTGAGTAGTTATAATTGAAAGTTGTATTATAGAGAGTTCTGAGAGAGCAGTTTTAAGAGAAAAATTAGAGCAAGCGAGGGATCAGAAGACACTGTCATTAATATAGTCGTTTTCCAGCAGGTATACTCGTCACTTTTCGACCAATTGTCACATAATAACTATAGTTACCACAATTACAAATTAGAGATTTCAAAAATACGAATAGCAGTGAGTAGTACCTAAATCTGCGTATACATGTGTGAGAGGATCATCCTATTCAGAGGACGCTGTCGTTAGTCGTTTCCCAACAGTTATACTCATCACTGTTCGACCAATCATTGTATAATAAATATAATTACCACAATTACAAATTAGAGATTTCAAAAATACGAATAGCAGTGAGTACTATCTAAATCTGCGAATATATGTGTGAGGGGACCATTCTATTCAGAGGTCACTGTCGTTAGTCGTTTCCCAACAGGTATACTCGTCACTGTTCGACCAATTGTCACATAATAACTATAGTTACCACAATTACAAATTAGAGATTTCAAAAATACGAATAGCAGTGAGTCTCCAGTAATTCCCTAGTCTCAGTAGTACCTAAATCTGCGTATACATGTATGGGCTGGTCCTCCCTCACGGTTGTATTTCCTAGAGAATTCTTTGCCGGGCACGCAACGAAAATATCTACTGCATCTGGAAGCTCGAAGATCTTGCGAAACGGAACGGAGGAAATAAGAATAGCTGGCGTAAAAATTCGCCCATGCAGACGCGGAAGGGGCGGAATTATCGCGAAACAATGCATCAGAAAGATGGCGGGACTCGCGCAAGGTGTATCGTAAATAATCTGGCATCGCTTCAAAACTGAAATTGTAGCCGGCCTTGCCTCCGTGTACGTTGACGCGCATTATGAACCATCCTGGTACCGCTCCAGGAAGCTCGTAAAACACCGATAATATAATGTTCGGAAACGATAAATAATACGTAGCCGGGGGCCATGCCAGCGAAATCTATTACAAAATTAATGGAAACATTGAACAGAGATCGCTAACGGAATCGCCGGCCGTTCTGCCCTGTAGCTTAATCGGTAATAATCGTGCCCCTCTCGGACCGCGTTTAACGTATAAATGGAATAAATACGAGATCCTATGGGATGTCGTCCTTCCTCGACACGCTCGCACGATTATTAATTGCGACGACGCGATGCGTTTCTAGCTTTTGTTGCCGGATGTCGTCCACCGCCGGAGCTTTCGACTGACATCGGTATATATGTGCCTCGCGTGATTGACAATTCACTCGATCATTTGGCAAATCGCGTAATTACGAAGAGTAAAGTGATATTAATTATCAAGCGTTTGAATATCAACCGAGTGCCTTGATAGTAACATCGAAGAAATTTTGGAACGGTGGTGTAGTCACTTTGGTCTGTGAAAAGATCAATTGAAAAATTCGTGCGAAGAACCGTTCATTGGCTCAGTCTATCGACTATAGGAAATAAAGAATATTTATTTTAAACATGAAACGTTTGAATACGAGCCAAGTGGTTTCATAATAAAATTGGTAACAATTTTGGGAATGGTAGTAGTCACTTTATTTCATTTGAAATATTAAGCGTTTGAGTATTAATCAATCGTTGTGATAGTAAAATTGAAAAGAAATTTGGAATGATGGTCTACGATCTTCACCCTCTGCACATATGTGCTATACTTTCGAGCAAAAGAAGGCACAGCGTGTTTACATCCTCAGAGCTAACTTCGCTGACACTCCCATGATCATGAGAGGCATTGGCGATGTCACCCATGACCTTCGTCACCGTTTCCGGACAATAGCAGTCACTACCTGTGATCAAGGAAGTGTTAGTGGAGTTAATCAGCCAATCCGTGAGGATGTAAACACACCGTGCCTTCTTTTCCCGAACGCACAATACATACATGCGGGGGGTACAGAGTAAGTCTCCAATTACGCGTGAGATGACACGTTTCGTAATAAAAATTTCTTTAAGAATGATCATTATAAGTTTAAAAAGGAAATTTATTAGTACGAGAAAGATTTAATTAAAATTCGCGATATACGATTGAATATAAAAGAAGGCACAGCGTGTTTACATCCTCGCGTCTGATTAATTCCACTGATACTCCCTTGATCACAGGCACTGACAGCTGTTTGCCGAAAATGGTGATGAAAATCACGGGTGACAACGTCACCTGTACTTGTGATCATGAGAATGTCAACCAAGTTAGCCCCGAGGATGTAAACACTTATGTGCCTTCTTTTCTCAAACGCACAGTACATACATGCAGGGGCTACAAAGTAAGTATCCAATTGCGCGTGAGATGACACGTTTCGTAATAAAAATTTGTTTAAGAATGATCATTAGAAGTGTGAAAAGGAAATTTATTAGTATGAGAAAGATTTAATTAAAATTTACAATATACGATTGAATAGAAAAGATGACACAGCGTGTTTATATCCTCACGGTTGATTAATTCCACTGACACTCCCTTGATCACAGGAAGTGACAGCTGTTGGCCGAAAACGGCGACGAAAATGACGTCACCTGTGCCTGTGATCATGAGAACGTCAACCAAGTTAGCCCCGAGGATGTAAACACGCTGTGCCTTCTTTTCTCGAACGCGCAGTACACGCGTAGACCCTCGCACGTAACTGATACAAAACCGCTATTTCAAATGCTGCCAGAACCATGACCGAAATCGATATTTTCACCGATTTCGGTTCTTTATAACAGTTACAGAAAATAATGGTTCTTTGAAACCGTTTCGAGAACCGGAATCGATATTATAACAGCTTTCAACCCTTGATTAAGCGGCCGCAATTGTTCATCCCTCTTTCGCGTTCGGTCGATGCTCGTATCGGTTCGTTCGAAGCCCAAACTGCGGCCCCCTCCGTGGAAAAGATGGATCGATCGTTCTGTAGGAAAAACGCGTGAAACCACTTTGACTCGTTTCGGGCCATTCATCGGGAATCGTTGGAAAGCCATTGTCGGCGATTCGCGTGCCGATCGGATCGATAAATTTCGATCCCGCGGAGGCCATGTCGTGTAATTTGTCTCCTTTTCCGGGGCTGTTTGTTCCAGGATGTTCAGGAAATCCAGATGCGAAGCGACTGTACGACGACCTCCTGTCGAATTACAACAAGCTGGTTCGTCCAGTGGTCAACGTCACAGACGCCCTCACCGTTAAAATCAAGCTCAAACTCTCGCAGCTGATCGATGTAGTGAGTCCTCGAGTTAATTCTGGGCAAATATTATTAATTGCGGACGAAACGGACACGGATGGTTCGCTTTCACCCTTCTGTTTCATATTACAACTTCAGGCCAGTCGAAATGGATCTTTAAATTTTTCATTTTCGCTATTATCGAAAGTATGTAGATTTTTATTTTGGAAAAGCGTCTTGGAGAAGTCGATTCTTGTTTGGATGCGAACGTATTTACATGGGGTGAGTTATTTCACTGATTTCGCTCGAATTTATTTGCGAACTCTGTATATAAAAGTGTATTTGAGAAAGGTTGTTTGGTATAAAGAGGTTTGTACATTGTAATAATTGATCTTTTTTTATTTTACTTTTTAATTTAAATTTGAAGTTATATTAATTGGATAATATTTAGAAAATTTCTTATATTGTGAATTAGGTAGGTCTAATTGAGCCGTTCACTGCGCAAATTGATTAACTCCATAAAACAAAAAGTGGAGAAATGCAATGAAATAATGTATATTATTTTTTAAAATTCCCTTTATGATTTAAATCGAAATAAATATCGTAGAATGCATAAATACAAATGTAACTTTCGTCTAACGGTATATAAAATTTATAAGAAAAAATAGGCAAAGGGTAATCGTTGGTAATGTTACCATTTTTATGTTACTGGAAGAGTTAATCGATTTGGCAAGTGGAAAAAGTAATAAATTTAAATTTGACTAAATTTTACTTAAATTCTGATAAGACGACACTATAAAATTCACCGTTATCATTCGTTGCTTGCTAGTGCATTCGAGTTGCATTATTGCAACGATTTACATTAGAGTACGGAGTTAATCAAAGTGACCTCTGAAATAAATTATTTATTATTCGGTGGCCAAGAAATTTTTGTCGTTTAATGGTGTTAATCTTAATTATCATGGAAAGTCATTATAAATATAAAAAGTTACGATTATACCAAGTGCTTTGGCACTTAAATTAAAGATTTTTCAAAAAGTGGAGTTAATCGATTTGTGCAGTGAACGTCTCAATTATTGATCCTTGCATACTCTTTCGAATCTCATCGTGATTATGGTGTGAAAAAATCAAGGTGACCTTCATATTTTGACGAGAAACTGGAGCAGTATATTGCACTGTGCCTTCTATCAAACAACTTTCGTTTCAAACGCTTTTTTGTACAGCAAATATGCAGTTTGCGAATAAATTTCGACGAGAGGGTTAAAATAACCCACCCTGTATATACACCTGGTGCTCTTTTACACGGTGTGCAAGTACCGTGTAAAAAATCGTGAAACGTTTGATTCGCAACAAAGTATGAAACTCGTATTAAACTCTCTTTGTGCAAATGGATTTTCATCCGTCCAAATAAATAAACAAATAAATTAAATGAAACGATGGGAAAAGAGGAAAAATTGGAAAACTGAATTCGATAACATTTTTCGATACGTGGTAATTTTCTTATTTTCTCGAACTTGAATTTCGGTTCTAATTAAATTACGATATTTTCGCTGTTTTGCATGCAGAGAAATATTTAATTAATAGTCTGAACGTAAACAAATGCGATCGGCAGTTTTCATAAGCACCAAGGGTCGACGTATATCGACAGGTTGGCAGTAAAAGGGTTAATATTGTTATCGAACCATATTTATATTTAATTCGAACGGTACAGCATGCTCGTAAATTGTATTATACAGGGTGTCCCAAAGAAATATGTACACACTTTGCGTGAATATATTAGGTTGGTAGAAAAATAATTTCGTTTTACTTCTTTTCCGTCTCTAATTAAATAACCTAAATAAAAATCACTAAATACAAGTAAATCATCACTACATACAAGATATTTATTATCAAGATATAGAACGGAGTTAACGCTTTCGAACGATACGTAACATAACCACATTTACAATTTATTCCAATATCAAGCTACGAAAATCGAAAATACAAAGAACGAAATTATTTTTCTATCAACCTAATAAAAACAGTATGTATTTAGATGAATTACAGATTACAGAAAAAATAAATTAGAAAAAATAAGGTATTAAAGTGTGTATACATTTTTTTGGGACATCAAAATTATTAATATTATTATTATTATTATTATTATTTAATATGCTAGATCGATGCTAGAACGACGCTATTGAAATCGTCGATAGAACGTAGCTGCAGGTACCTAATTTTGGAGGAAATTTTCTGCTTGTTCCTTTTATTCCAATTTTAATTTTAATTTTAAAAAATTCCAAGTGGACGTGAATTTTTATATTTTTAATCGACGAACGATATTAATCGATATTTATATACTTTTTAAATATCTCGAATCACTGTTTGAAAAATCGGAATGGTTAAATTTTAGTGTCTACTTGAAATGTGAAATTCGACTTTAATTCAATTAAATTTTATGAACTCGCTGTATCGCTCGGAATGATCATATCTTAGTAAATTATTAAGTATTCTGTTAAATTTCTTTAAAAGTCATCGCTTTTTGTTGCTCTTTCCAGAATCTCAAAAATCAAATCATGACGACCAACCTATGGGTGGAGCAGGTACGTACAGTAATCGTATAAATAATTTCTACGTATACCTGACTGAAAATGATCCTCAAATTCGAGTAATCGAAATTAGAATATATGTGATGTAACACTTTGATAGCAATTTAACAGTCGACACAATCAACGTATATGTGCCTGTGATTATGAAAGTGGTCGAAGTCACTTGTATTTGCCTTTGAAATATTAAAAGTTTTGGCCTTTAAATACGTCATAAATTATAAAATTAATTGCGATAAAGCTATAAATTCAATCTAGTGATTCAATTCTTGTTTTGTAGAAAATAAATATATTTTATCGAAGTATGAATTAATGCAACACGAAATAAATAATAAAATCGTTCTTCTTAAGTCAATGACTTAGACCATTTTCATAATTATAGGCACATATAAACCCTTCGTCTTCATAATACGAAAATTAAAAATTTATTTTAACTATATTAGTCAAACGAACCAACCCCCTGTATTATGATTTAGTTCTGAAAAATGAAGTATTGAAGAATTATCATTTTTTAATTAATTATTATAATACCTCTGTTCCATTCGCGAAAAAATTACACAAGAATTTTGGAATTTCTTCAAATTTTAATTCCAATATTTTTCGAGAATGAGTTGACCTCGTTATTATACTGCAGGGGGTTGAATTATACTTGGCATGAGGTAGGAATTAAAATTCGAAAAAATCCTAAAATTTTCTTCAGGAACGGCCAAGTACTCTGGCACGAAAATTGAAAAAAGAAAATTCGAAGAGTGGCATTAATCGCCCAAATCTGAATAGCCCCTATTTTATTTTATTAATTCGCGTTTCACAATAAGGTGGACGAAATTTGCGATCCTCGAGCTTGATGGATCGAGTGATCCAACGAAACCCAAAGCAAGCAAACATCGACTCGACTCTAACGCGGATAAATTTCGGAATAATTTTTCGCCTTGAACCGCGTTCGAGGGAAGCAAGGGAGAGAAGTCGAGGACCTGGTCCGCTGGATTCCGCTTGCATAAGTTTCATTTCTGGTAATCGTTCGAGTCGTGGCACCCGGGCATTGTTTTGCGAGGATATATAAACGGGGATACGTGCGAATAGTCCGTAAAACGAAAATCGGCCAGGAGCTTCCACTCGAGAGTCGCAAAATAAGTCCGGTGAACCGTGCAACCCACTTTCGAACGCTAGATTACGTAAGACAGACTCGCATCCGTTTCCGTGCATCCATTTCGTCCGTCCTCCTCTTCCTCCTTTTTTTCCTTTCTTTTTGTTATCTTGCACGAAATTAGCGATGGCGAGGAAATGGCGCAGATCGAGAACGGACAGAGAGCTCTTTTGCCATAGTAATCGAAGCGTACACCGCGCGAGTGTGGTAAATTATTAAAAGTGTAGGTTTAATAGGAAATAATAAACATTTTTCTAAACAAAGAGAAGTTTCGTTGGGTCATAATATTGATCGTTTTCCGGTCTCGTGGACTATTGCATAATTCCAATTAACTCGCGATTGTATGTAGTTATATGACAAGACACTGCTTTGTAGTGGTGAACAGAAGAATAGTATTCGCAGCAAAGGTTTGGTAGCAAGTCAACATTTTATTCATAATTTGATTATTATAAATAATAAAGGATTTTTAAAATTCTATTATTCTTCGCTAATATGATCAGGGTAAAAATGATTATAGCAATTGTATTAAAATACGTAAAAATTCCAATACTTTCTCCTGAGCTAGCCAAAGAAGAAATAATTAAATTCTGGTTAATTTTTATTAATTCTCAAAAGCAAATAATAGCAATTGTAAAATTCGTAAAAATTCCCATATTTTTTCCCGATATTGCCAAAGAAAAAATTGTTATTCTGATTAATTTTTATTAATTCACAAAAGCAGATAATAGCAATTATAAAATTCACGAAAATTTCCATATTTTTCCAGATATTGCCAAAGAAAAAATTGTTATTCTGATTAATTTTTATTAATTCACAAAAGCAGATAATAGCAATTATAAAATTCGTGAAAAATTCCAGTATTTTTTACCGATATAGCCGAACAAAAATAATTATTCGAGTCAATTCTTATAAATTCGCAATAGCAGATAACACCAATTTTTACCTAAAAATCCTCAGAAATCGCTATAGCACACCGGTGCACTAAACGAGAAAAGAAATCAGCAAATAAATCAAGAAATAATTCAAACCAGTAAAATCCCCATAAATTTATTCCCAAATATATCAATTTCCCACGAAATAACACTCCTCCCATTACCCTGTCTTTCACGAAAACCCTCTGCCACGATTTTCGCACCCGAAATTTCCCACATTCTCCAAATACGTATCTCCAACCACAATCCTCCACATCGGAAATTATTTTTCAACCGCAGCTTGCAGATGAAACGCTCAGAAGGATCAGGAGGATTAGGGGGTAGCCTGGTAACTGAGAAAGCAAAGGTGACAGCGCGATGGTGAACTGCACGATGCGAAACGTTCTCCACCGTGGTATTTGCACCACGGTTTTCGTCGATTTTTGCTGAATTTGCCTTAATTGAATCCGCGATCACTTGGACGAATCGCATTCGACGCGGTACTTGCGGGCCATTAATCTGTTAGACAGCGTCGCCGGGTAACGACCCTGGGTACATAAAGACGAGCACCGATATATAATCAGATCAAATATTGGTGGTTCGTCGGGACTCGCTGCTCCCGCATATATTAATGGAGCGTTGGTCACGTGTAACAAACGCCCCGGCGAAAAGGAGGCGGAGGAGAAGCGGTTTCCGTCGAATTTCGGTTTGCCTTTCAGTTTACCCTGGGACCGCACTTTCTGCGATCGATTTTATCGGCCAGACCCCCGAATTCTAGTGTAAATATGCCTCGAGAATTACCGAGGGAACGACGGGTGTGAAATTTAAACGTACTCGATAGCATCTTCGGGTATTTACCTTGCCTTTCAACGTGATCCTTCAGGGTAATTAACAGTGGTAAACCTATCACAGCTCGAATAGCCTTCCTCATATTTTGAACTCAGAATTTTGCACTTAACTTTCTCACTTCGGTTTTTGCAATTTTTCTTTTGATATAGGTATAATTAATTTTTTAATATCTCGTGATCCATTTTCTCGACAATTCCCTGTAAAAATAAAGGAAATTATTATGCTATTGATATTTTTAACTGCAATTTTAAATTAATACTTGAATTAACACTAAATACTAAAGATTTTAAATTATCATTTACGTATTTCTTAAGACCCAAAAGTTAAAAACAAAATTACGTTAATATCAATTGTATTCATTTTTAATTAATATCAGAATTAATAAGAAATTGACTAGAAGTGTTTCGAAATTTTTATATCGATTTAGTATATCCAAAAAAGAAATCTCAGACTATATTAATATCTTTGACATCGTCGGTCAATCGTCTTTGCGATTTTTCTCTGGATATAAATTTAATTGATTTTTTAATATCTCTTGTTCCATTTTCTCGATAATTCCCTATAAAAATAAAGGAAATTATTATGTTATTGATATTTGTAGCAGCAATTTTAAATTAATATTGGAATTAACACTAAATACCGAAGATTTGAAATTACCATTTACCTATTTCTTAGGACCCAAATGTTAAAAACAAAATTACGTTAATATCGATGCTATTAATATTTAATTTATATCAGAATTAACAAGAAATTGGCTAGAAGTGTTCCTAAATTTTTATATCCATTTAATACATTCAAAAAAGAAATCTTGATATCTTTGACATATTGGAATCGGTACTAAATACCAAAAATTTAAAACCACGCCATATTTCTTAAAACCCAAAAATAAAAAGGGAAAAGTATAGCTAAGAATTTATTTATCTAAAAATATCTATACTATTAACTCCGAAATAATAGTAAAATTAAAAGAAATTAGCTAAAAGTGTCTCCAAATTTTTATATAAACTTACCACAACCTTATACCCCAAAAACCCCTCTAAGAAAAATAAAAAAACAGGAGAAATGTTGAAAATTGAAAATATATAGGGAAATATAGGGAAATATAGGGAAAGCTGAACGAAGGAACGAAACGCAAAAATAATTTCATCCCCGAGGAGTCACGAAGTGTCCATTTGTATAAAGCTGTCGGGAATAAAGAGAGATCGTTCTCATTTTTCCCCCTGGATCGCGATCTTTAATGTCAAAAATCCTTGATCTCCGCTTTAAACGTGGCTTACGTGACGCCATTAAGCCGCGAGGGGCGATGCCTATCGGGAAACGGGTCCGGGACGAGGGGGAATATTTATCTGTCGATGTCTTCTGCCCCGTGGCATGATCTTTCGGGGTCTTAGGCGAGTCTCCGGGAACGGAAAAGTTATAGAGATTTAACGTTCTGTGTACGAAACCCCGGCGAATAAGGGGCTCGAGGAGTTAAGCGGTATGAAATAATATAGGTCAGACATTCAGCGGCGCTAGTTTGTTCTGCATTGGTATTCCTTATTAACCGGAAGAGGATCCCAGCTCTTTCAAGGAATTACTCGATTGTTCGACGGTTCGATTATTTAACCGTTTAGCCGTTTAAAAATAAACCACGGGGATACCGATTCGAGGTAATTCAGCAAATCCATCGGTAAATTGGTTTTATTTCTTTCATCCAACGGTTTCTTCTTCCCCTTTTTTCCCTTTTCTCTCACACAAATGAGGTATCCGTAGAAAGCTGCCCCTGCTTCGTGTTAATTAACATTCTGTCGCATACTCTCTTCGATCCCCTCTATCAATTAGCTCGACGTACAGTTCCATACAATCCCTCTTACCTTTCCTATCGTACCCTCATTATACTTTTTTCCCCTAACCAGCGCGGAAATATGCGAGACACTTCAAACGGAGCAGATTTATTTTCCTAAACCTGAACGTGTTATTTTTATCGATTAACCAGCAAGACGTTGCATTCGATATAACATCGCTTATTTATTGTCTCCCTTTTCGTTGATCTTTATTCCTTTACTTTTATTTTTTCGTTTTTATTTTCGAGTCTTTAAACAATTGAAAGGGTGGCGAGTTAGAGTGCTATTAATTAGTCTATGTAATTGCAAGGGGAATAATTTTGACACCATATTTTATAAGGTTATAGAGACACGTACGAATCTGAAGATGTTTATTCCCTTATTTTTATTTTTTCGTTTTTATTTTTGAGTCTTCAATCGGTTAGAGGGATGACAAGTTAGAGTGTCATTGCTTAGTTTATGTAGTTGCAAGGGGAATAAATTTGACACCAAAATTATAGTGACACGATATTTCACGATAGTTCCTATTCTTGCCGATCATAATATTCCATGTGATCAATTTTCGTTTAAATTATTTGCAATTAATTTTGGAAAAATGTCCATGTTCTGTTTGTCGTTGATTAATGCACGAACAGCGATGCGTGATACGAGATCTTCGATACTAGATACAGAGCATTAATTATCGCGTTATAATAATGACAGGAAGAAATCGAAGCTTAACAAATTTTCTAATTTTTAGAAATCTCGGCAAAGGGTTAACAATCCCTGCAAAATAAATAAATATCTAAAATTGCGACATTTACTGTGGTCACGAGGAGAGAACTCGCCTTCGCTGTAAACTCAGTGTATTTTCCACGAACCAGCTGCCTGTTAAAAGGTCAATTCCATCGCTGCCTTTTTTAACGTCCCCCAAGAACACAGAGAACAGTGGCATAGACGGGACAAACACGTGTAATCCCAGGCATTTTTCCCGACATACATCCCATCAACGCGTTTCATCGTTCCTTTCGTTTTAATTAATTTCACCCGGGATCTGATCCGACAGGGAAGCTGACAGACGTCAAAACTGTTCAACGTCGCGAACAAAGTAAGCCTGCTGCCCGTGGCAGGCTCCGCGGAAACAATCCGCCGTGGAAAAGGATGAAAAGAACAAACGGCCGCGATAATCGGCCGTGCACACGAACGATACGGGAAATACAATTCTGGCACATGATTCCCTGTACATCCCTGCAACTTCGAACTCAGCTTCGTTCCGTTCAGTTTCGTCCTTTTCCCTCTTCCTTTTCGTCCCTTTTCATCGTCGCAAACGAGCGAGGCACCATTTTCTGCTGGCCCTGTGCTATTCTTTCACAGGCTCTTTTAACCCCATGATTTTTTAATGGAATGTCAATGACAAATTTCGTGGTTACGATGATTAACACTAGAACTACCGATCTTTAATGGGTACCTAACTATAACGTTCACAGATTATAGTAATTTCAGCGATACGATGAATATGAGTGAATATATCGATTACAGTTCTTTCTTAATACGAGTTGATACTAATTTTATTCTTAACCACTAGCGCTGGCAAGAAATTCACAGACACGTGTGCCAGAACGGTCCAGTCTTCCTGTGACAATTGACGACGTATATACCACGTTGTTAGCGATTCTGCGATAAAAGCATTACGACGTGTCTGGCACGTCTTTTCAGCGTAAGTGGTTAAAGCAGGTGTATGTGTTCGGTGATTACAAAATGGAAAATTCTGGGACCAGTCATTTTCACTGGGTTGGTAGTTCTAGTGTTAACCCTTTGCACTCGAGAGGCGCCCTCCAGTCGCCGTTTGATAAAATTTCGAAGCTCGATATTCATAAATATGTCAAATTTTAGATAATGTAACTGTGTACGAGGTATCGAAATCAAATAATTCTACGTGTTAATTATCATACGATTTCTTATTCCTGCTCAGAAAAATATTGTCAGTTTTGTGACAGAAAATCTTTGAACTCCTATCCTTCTTTGGCCAAAAAATTGTCGAGTGCAAAGGTAAAGAGTAATTCTTTATTGTAGATACCTTGGTTCCTTATACGTCGTCTTCATTTTTATTTTTAATTCCACCCTTTGCACTCGGCAAATTTTTCCAGGAAAATTGCGATTCGAAGATTTTTTGAAACGAAGTCGATATTTTTGAAACGATTAATAAGAAATAGTATTCAAATTTGCACGTAGAATTATATTATTTCGACATTCCACTCGTCGTTGCGTTATTTTAAATTTGATATGGTAATTAAGGGCATTCTTTGAAATCTGCTTAAATAGCAAGAGGCAAATACAGAGGTTTGAGATAGTAAGGGTGATAACGTGACACTATTTTCGTTTAAAAACGAGTGGCTTATAATTTACTTTTCACTGGAGAAATATTGTTTTCTGATAAAGAGTTAGTATGAATTTTCTGAAACTTGTCAAAATTAATCAAAAAATTATTATCGATATATAGAAAATTATATAATAAAAATTACGAGATCAAAAATAATTTATTTCGCACCGTCAAAATTTATTGAAAATATTAATCATAACAACTCCAAGTCATTCGCAAAGGGATGATATTTAATACCATTCCTTTTATCGTCTTCACTGATTAAAAATTCGCTTCAATTAACCACATGTCGATTATTTATGAATTTATTAGTTAGAAATTTTATTAGTTTGCTAAACTGTATTATTGATCCTTTGATCATATTTTTCTTCTTTTTTTACGTGTTTCAAAATTTCCATTTCGTGTGGAATGACTAAATTGTTTCTTGTTTCAGTCATGGTACGATTACAAGTTAAAATGGGATCCAAAGGAATATGGTGGGGTGGAGATGCTGCACGTGCCATCCGATCATATATGGAGGCCCGATATAGTTTTGTACAACAAGTAAGACCATCATTATCGAGGAAATTACGTTAATATCTGATGCTACCCCTTCGTGGATCTAACTTCGAAACATAGGAGATCGTCTGAAATTGCTTGGCCCACTGCCACGTGTCATGGTTTTCGAATTTTCGTTTCAGAGAAAACTGTCATAAAATTCTGCTCAGAAATTCTTCCCATTTCCTTATTTTTCCTTTTCCACTTAAAAGCCAAAAAATTCGAAGATTCCGTATCATTAACGAATAATTTTTTAACAAATATTTTTCAATATAAAAATATTTCTCACATAGTGGCTCCAATAAGAAAATTTCCAGTCTCTTCTTTTATTTATTATTCTCCAGTAATGCATGATTATGGTACAGTATCATAAAAATAATAAATATAAATAACGATAATAATGTATGTAAATTTAATATTAACGATAATAATGTAAGCAAAATTTTTCCAATGAAATTCGTCACTGAAACGGTTATAAATTAGTTTACAATTTACCCAGGGACCCAACCTTAATTGATACGAAGAGATTCGTTTACTCGATTCACCGGGGTTGGTACGATAAGGGTCCCCCGAAAATGTTGGAATCGGTGGTAAATTTCGTGGAGAATTTTTATCAGACAGACGTTGTCGGAATCTTGATCGGTGATACGATGGTTTTATTTGATTCGTACAGTGCCGACGGTAATTTCGAGGTGACGCTGGCAACGAAGGCGACGCTGAATTACACAGGGAGGGTCGAATGGAAGCCACCGGCCATATACAAGTCTTCCTGCGAGATCGACGTAGAATATTTCCCGTTCGACGAGCAGACATGTGTCATGAAGTTCGGCTCGTGGACTTACGATGGCTTCCAGGTAACGATCCCTTACACTTTCCTGTCGCAATTTTCTCATTGCTAATAAGCAATCCATCCTCGGGCAGAATGTGTCCAAAACGGGGGTGTAGAAAATTTAAAAGGGGAGTAAAAACGAGAGTTCTGGCAGGATTGTACTGAATGAAAAGTAGTAATTATAGGAACTTAAAAATTTTTGTTAATAGATCGGTTTTATTTATGAAAAGTAAGTTAAAGGAGTTAAGTACCGTTGTTGCTTCGAAGTAATAATTAATCACGAACGCAGATTATGGAATTTTTTTTTTAGCGGAGAGTTATATTTTTAAATTGCATTTTATATTAAAATTTTTATTTTTGTATTTTCATGGAAGTTAGTAATATTTTTTCACGTTGGTTTAAAAATTTCTACTGTGCATCAGCCCTGAGAAAATTATGCTTTTTTTTAAGGAAAGTTTGACAGTTTATGTGCGATGTTGTACAGTGCAGTGTTTCATTTTTTGAGCATCGAGATTAAATCGATCATAGTGTCGCGATATAGTTGACATTTCGAACGAGCATAATACTCGGTAGAGTAAATTTCTCTCACGTTTTCAGAGTAAAGGATCAACATGTAACACTTAGGAAATAATTTATTCCAGCGTGGTTAAGACACGATTTTTAATTAAGATAGAAGCATAAAATATGTTTAACAATCTCGAAACAGGTCTTAAGCTACTCTTCAAAGTAACCTGAAAACGCATAAATTAGGAATTTCTGCCACATCTTCATTAAGGAGCATCAAAAACCCAGCACTTAATAAATAACTTACTCTGCCGCACCTAGGATGTAACTTTTAATTAAGAGAAAAAGAAAGAAATTTGAAACACGATTAACAACTTCTAATTAGAACGATTTTCAAGAAAATATAATTATTCCACTACGCTCGATATCGGAATAAAACTGATTTAATAATCTCAAAACTTAATAAATAACTTGCTCTACCGCCTCCGAAATAGAATTTCCAGCCAAACAAAACGGAAGAATTAAATAAAACGAATTTAATCCTGTTGCGAGTAAGCATTCCCGGCTTTCCACTTAACTCACTAGCGCCACCACGACCTATATCTACAATAAACGTTCTCTATAAATATCGTATATACGTATTTTCTAATTTTACCAATATAATCTCGCAGTTTTCTTCTTATTACATGTGTCACATTACACGATATTAGGTTCACGAATTAATCATTTTAATTACTTTAAGGTTAATTATTTTAACAGTTTTAGAATAAAAATTCTTGCAAATAAGGCAACGAATAGTACCCTTGTTATTATGTTAACAAGTAACTCGTTATACGCTCCTAAAGTAGAATTTTTAGAAATTATACACGTAATTGTTTGATAATCCGAAAACACAATAGATGGCGCGTCGGAGTAACCAAAAGGCATCGGCGTAAGTTAAGCGAGGCGCATGGCCGGAAATTAGATTAAGAAAGTGGAATTAACGCGGCAAGGGAGTGACTCGTAGAGAAATGGCGCCGGGTATTTGTTTATTTGCATGTTATTGCGCGTCTCGTACGAAAAGCTCGGTCCGGCTTATCACTATTCATGAAGCCGGTGCGCCGCGGCCACGGATGTGCGCCGAATGAAACGCACATAAATTTCCAATGATTAATACCTCGTCCACGCGATACACCGGGTTGTTTATTATACGCCGCCGCCATACTTTTTCCTTGGACGTCGATTACATCCTCGATCGGTGAAATTCCTCTTCTCCTTCGCGGTATCGACGAAGAAAACGGTAAAGAGGTAACGAAATTTTAATACGAAATTTTAAACGATTTCTAGTATCAAGATTCGCTTAATTTTTAGGGTAATTTTTTGAGAAACTTTTTGTGGCAGATTTCTTCCGCTTTGTGAATTTATATCGTAAGAGATGGGAGATTATAGTTATAGAATTATCGTAGCTCATGATAAGAAGATTTTAATTGATTAAAAGGGGTTTCTTAATTTTTAGAAAAATTTGTTAGGGACATTTATTTGCTAGATTTTAATTTTTTCTGTTATTAATTATATGGTAAAATATTGGAATTTATAGTTACGAAATTATTGTAGCTAGTAACACGAAGATTTTTAGTGAGCAATTGGTTTTTAAATTATTGGAAACATTTTTAGGAGAAGTTTATCTGTTAAATTTCTTTTTGTGTGAATAATAGGGGATTTAGGAAGTTCTTAGTTTATTCGCCGAATTTCTCGCGTTTTCGAATTACATCGTAAACAATAGGGGATTACAGTGGTGAAATATTGCTCCTTTGCAAACGTTTCTCTTTTCGGTTACGCGCTGTGAACGATGAAAACAGCGAGGGAATAATGAAATTTTGAATGCGCGCGAAAACCCCGAATAATAGGTTTTTTTTTTAATTTCCTAGGGAATTCCGCGCGAAATTTGATTTCCCTTTCCACCGTGTCGCGAATTACGCGGTGAAAGATCGGGAATATCGCGACTTTGTGTTAATACCAAGATTATAAATATTCTTTTTCATAAGTTCTTTCGTAAAATGTACTTCGAAACTAACTCGCGAAACTTTCCCTGTGCCGCGATATTAAAGAACTTTCATCGTTATCCCTAAAATTCTGCTTTTAATACCGTCGAAAGAGAAAAGGGGGAAGAGGGAAGGAAAAAATAAAAGAAGGAAGTTTTATCGATGTTGGCGACATTATAAAATCGCGGGATCATCGAACGAAAGAAGAATTCACGTGTAACGAAGCCACAAGTGGGTAGAACGAGGAGATCGTTTCGCGTCATTATTCCCAGACGATTGTCGTGCAGTGGTACCACTAGTATCGCGTAAAATATCTATACCGATCGATGAATAATGCATATCACGCGCGTGTGTGTGTGTAATACGTTGTCCATACGTCATCAGACACGACAACGGGATATCCATCAGGTTCATTTAATAAGAAGCACATACCGATCGATCAGCTTTATATACGGGATACGAAATGGACATTCCATAAGGGATGATTACGCGAGACGCTTTTAACGATCGGTCAGGACACACGTGAGGATTTCAGGATCGTTAATTGCCACCGTCCAATAGCATTTTGTCGCTTATTAACGGCTTTTTTTACTCGCTCGGCAATTTAATTCGATAGTAAGATTCCTCGAGAATTGGTCTTTAAGAATTTTTCCTCGATTATCGTGGGTTTATTAAAATTTGTCGACGTAAGTTTATTTTACCGAGATCGCCGCCATTTTGACGCGATCTAATCGAAAATTCCCTGAAAATTAAACCTCGAGAATTTCGCGGTAAATGAAGAATAGATCGAAGATTTATTAAAAACTTGTCGACGTAAATTTATTTTACCGAGATCGCCGCCATTTTGATTTCAGCCGACTAAAAGTTCTTTAAGATCACGATTCGATAATTTTTCGATCTCGAGTATCGGAGATTTATCGAAGACCAGAAATCTTCGATATTTTTCTTTTTTTTTTTTAAAAGAAAAAATAATTTCATAATCTAAAAGAAAATTGGTAAAAATTAATTTATTTACTAATTTCTATATTCTGGAAGGAAAATTATCCATTGCTGCAGATTTATAATACTAATACTATATTATATACTAATACTACTAATACTAATACTAATGCTAATACACTAAAATTTAGCAAATGTGAAAAAGACGAATTTTCCAATATGTCGCAATTAACAATGCGATTTTATTTTGTATTATTCATTATCTATATCAAGAAACTCGTCACATTATTACTCATCCGTGACACCTATCTCTCAAGTGAAAATCATACTCGGTGCTATATATGGCACTTGCATCGAACGTCTTACTTGAAAGACCTACTAATTTTTTAACGAGAGATATTCTGTTGAACATTGAACATTGTCCGAAGTTTCCGTGTCGAGTGGCGATTTCAGAGCGTCAAATCGCGCATCGTCTCGGTGTTTCGCCTCGAATCGTTGTCTCGAAGTAATAATCGAGGATTCCGGCGCGGTTGCGCCGGGGAATCTCGTTAACTCCGACTTAACGGGCAGAAATGGACGTAAATATCAGGAACATCGAATGGCATTCCATCTCTCAAGTGGATCAAACCTATCCGCCGTAATGCCTCGCGTTTCCTCTATTAATTGACTGATACGTTCCGTTTTCACCAAATTATACACATCTCGATGAGCTAATAAATCGTCGATAGCGGACGATCGAAAAATCGAAAGACCGAGCCGGCAAATGATGTAAAATACAACGCGAACAAAATATTTTCAGGGATATCTGAAAGGATGGCTCGTTTCAACGAATTTCACGTGTAGAGAAATTACTCTACATATGAAATTTATATATAGGTGTACTGGTATATATTATATACTATTTCCCAAACTATAGATCGTTTCGAAAAATGATTTAGAAAATATTTAGCATCTTTTGCGTCACGTATCTTGTTCAGATGCACGTGGAATATAGGAGTCTATCTAAATAAAAATCTTGGAAATACGTCTAGAGGAAAAGGATTTGTGACTACCATGTCTGGAAACGGAGTATGTTCAGGATAAGTAATTGCATCCAAAGATTAAAATGGAATATATTACTTTAATATGAAGTATATCAAAATTATTATTACCGTGAGTATTACTAAACTTCGCTTTAAATTCCAACATAGTACGAAATTCTGAAATAAAAAGCGAAAAAGACAAAATCTTTTAATTATCAGAGGAAGCTAATCGATATAAAACAAAGTATAATTATAGTACTTTAATATAAAATATATCAAAATTACCATTGCTTCAATTCCCATTTCGATTATCGACACTGTCCAATATTTAAAAAGAAAAAAGGAAGAAAAATTTGTCAACCAACGCCATCTTTAATTTAGCATCTTATAATTGCAATTAATGAACAAAGAAAGCTAATAGATATGAAACAAAGTACTATTATATTACTTCGCTATAAAATATATCAAAATTCCTATTACTATTAGTCCAATTCCCATTTTGATTATCGACACTGTCCAATATTTAGAAAGAAAAAGTTAAAACGAAAAAATTTGTCAACTAACATCATCTTATAATCGCAAACCACTTGTTCCAATTACACGCATGATTCGAAATTCCGCAGGTCGATCTTCGACACATCGACGAGATCCATGGCAGCAACGTCGTCGAAATCGGCGTCGATCTGACGGAGTTTTACACTTCCGTCGAGTGGGACATCCTCGAAGTCCCAGCCGTGAGGTAAGACATCCCCGAGGAACCGTCCTCTACGGCCGCACTTCCGGCGCCGAGACTCTCTTCCGCCTGGTGCCAATTCCCGTGAAACTAGCGATTCTCCGGCGAAACGGCATTCGAGACGAAAGCATAATCTGCCCGACGAAATTTCCAAGAACGTGTACACAACGTTCTCGCAGCGAAATAGCGTGTACACGTTCAGAGAGCCGTTCCCGGATAACAATTCGCCGCATGAGCGCCTGTCTATTCCTTTAAGAACGTCACGCCGCCGATGTTTCATTTGCAGAAATGAAAAATTTTACACGTGCTGCGACGAGCCCTACCTCGACATCACGTTCAACATCACCATGAGACGGAAGACTCTATTTTACACCGTCAACCTTATAATACCGTGCATGGGCATCTCGTTTCTCACGGTGTTGGTCTTCTATCTGCCAAGCGACAGTGGCGAGAAGGTGAGCAGCGTTTATTAACACGCCAACCTTTTTATCTTTATATCTTTCGCTTCTTTTTCGTGTATTTCATATTTTTTTTTCTTTTTTCTATGGTTTCTTGGGACCCTGCGATGTTCTATCAGGTTTAGTCTACCTGGATGGAAGGCTGCTCGAGTGTGCATGATTAAAAATGGTCAGCGTGTCTGTGTTGTTGGACGTTTAATAGATGAGAAATTACAAAATAATTTGGATCTGTGTGTGCAACGATTGGTAGCGAACTTCTGCGAGCTAATTTTTGGACTGTGGACCAGTTGTAAGACTTACATTCAAACGCAAAAGTAGCAATGATCTAATGAACACCGATATTATTTTCGTCGCGTGGTATAGGATGATAAAAGGAAAAATTGCACGTCGGTAAGGAAGAAAACGATGCTTACCAGCGGAAGTGCATGCGAATATGTATAACACCGCGTTAAGTTCATCAACGTTTCTCAGGCAATGATAAATTTATCTCGAATCTTTGATTTAACCGTGAACCACGAGTCCACGGTAGCACATGGCCCTTAAATCACAAGGTGAAACATGGCCGATCGTTAACCGGGATTTACGAGCGGGAAAAGTTCGTCGGGGTTTCCGCGAGTTTAATATAAGAACCGCGAGCCGAGGGCGTCGCGAAAGTGTATCGATAAATTTCGTTGGTGCACGGCCGATTCGAGAGGAAAGTAAAGCCAATAAAGGATATTAAATTCGTCGTCGCTTCCCGTTCCACGTGACGCGATGAGACGAAGAGGAACGGTGCACCGCCATTCTTACAGGACGAAGAGGTCTCTTTCCCGTTCTTTCCATCTCTCTTCCCCTCCAACTTTATTAACACGCTACTGCGTCGTGATCAATTTTCCAAAGCTCCCGAAGCCTTCAAATTTTTTCACACCAACTCTCGTGAACGTGGAAATTTTCGCGATGCACGAAAAATGGCAAACAGCACGTTTCAACGAAATCGGATTCGGAAAGCCTGAAAGCGTATTTTCCACGTGATGTTTCTCCAAACCAATTTCTCTAAACCAACAGAACCAAAAAAAAATAAAGAAGAAAAACAAAAGAGGATAGAAAAAGATTAAAAAGGAACCCAGTGGTTTATATTTATATCACGTGTATCACGTATCGTTGGCTGAGAGATTACTGCCTAGATCAGAGCTGAATAAACTTCTGCGAAACTTTCGATGCTTGTAGTAACATGAGGAAGAAGACGAAGAAGATGTCGGACAAAGGGAAATGGAAAATATTATTCGCGGTGTATCGCGTATAGAAGCGATTTCGTGGCGAGTCGACTCGTTCGATCAGAATTCCGGGTGGAGAGGGTCAAATATCAAAATCCATCGGCGGAATGTAAACCTCTAAATGCCGTTCGGCCTCCATTCCTAGCAGACTCTTGACCTCGAGCCGATACCCACTTGACGCCGTGTGCGCCTCTATAATTCAGTCGTATTGTTCTGGCTCGAAACAGCCGGGCAAAAGGGTAAAGGGGGAACCTCGAGGGTGGCGGGGTTGGTCGGGAAAAAAGGGGAGAAGGTCAGATGTCAGCGTGCCATCCGCAGCCGACACTTCGATTCCTATCGAAAAGGACACCGTCTCCAGACTGAGACTCTTCTTCCTTCAGACTTTGGATACCGATTTCTTTGATAAATATGTCACATACAAAACAGATTTAATTCTCTTCGTACCTGAAGTAGCTTGGAGTAATAGTATGTAAAAGCGATGGATTTTATTCCAAAGTTTCCCTATTTTCAAAAAATAAATGCAATACGCATGTCGAGATTCCTTCAGCCAATCAGAGTCACAGAAACAATGTAAAAGATTAAAAAAGGTGACGAGTCTCAGTCATTAAAGGTATCCAAAGACTTAGAGATACCTCATACTTTCTTCCATTTTGAACCTTCTCCCCTTTTTCTTTCTGAATATTACATTACAGTAGGTTAAGATCGATATTATTTTTCAAAGATTGATATAATCTGGTCAATTTTGGAGATGTGCAATGTACCACAGTCTGAGAATCGCTATAGTAATTAGTCGTTGTTTTTTGTTTATAATTATGTGATCACTCCTGTACGCTTTTTAGATTTTCACAGTCCATTTCAATTTGTACTCTTACACACTACTTATGTAGTGCGCTATAAATGATAAACGTTTTAAAATTTTAAATTATGGGATTTAGAATAAGCAATTCGTCGCCATTTTGAAACTCATCTTCGACCGTATATCGTTGTTTCGTCCCGAACAACTTCCATCTCGATATCGATTGGTCCGTCTTCAGTGGGATTCCCCTTGCGGTATCACCGAGTGCAAACGACTTGCGAACACAAAAATTTCGCGGTGAATCCCGTTGTAAAAGGGCAATCGCGACGGAGAGCCGGGGGTGCAGCTTGAACGTCGAATCTGCTAGCTACTTTAGACGAATGCTGCCAACCCGGTGAAACAATGCCCTCTCGAATCGGGCTTTGTTCTTCGTTTCTGGTTTGCCTACTGATTTGAAACCTACACCGACCTATCGCGAAATACCCCACTTGCATTTATCTTTGCGTGTACTCGCGTGTTCTCTGAGTGCAGTTGTATCATTGCACGCTTTCTTGCTTTGGAGAGCTTGGGTATTAGTTTAAAAGAAATTCGCCTGGTGAACGGTGCATCCAAAATTCTGCAGATTCTTGCCAAACGATGTCCGAATAGCGGAAGTTTTATTTTAAATGAGATATTATCCCCGAGATGTATTGATAATGGTAATTTTTTAAACTATGATTTTTCTTCTTTTCTCTTCTTTTCTTTTGTTTGTAGATGTCCACCTGAGACCGCGAATTCTTGCCAAATGACGTTCGAAAGGAAGAGGTTTAATTTAAATGAGATATTATTTCCAAGATGTATTAATAATGGTAATTTTTTTTTTATAATTATGGTTTTCCTTCTTTTTCCTTTTCTCTTCTGGTCGGCGTCTAATCGTGTACGCGTGTGGATAAGTTGACTGATATTACAAGCATTGACACGACCTTAACACGTTTCGAAATGCGATACTGTGTCATGAACGAATGAAAGGAACGTTTTGTTCTTCACACTTAACCTCGAGGGCTCTTCTTTGTCTCTTTGTGGCGTAGTCACTTTGCTCGAGCATGCCCTTCAAATTCTGAATCGAATCAGAACATTGTCTTCGATCGTTTCCTATTTTCTTCCTTTTTCCTTTTTTCCTCTTTTTTCCTCTTTTTTCCTCTTTTTTCCTCGGTGTCTGTCCCACCTATTTGTTTCCTTTTGTACTTTCTTCTGTCTGTCTTTCTCTGATACCATTCTTGAAAGATAGTGACAATGGAATGTGATTAACGATTGATTCTTTGATTACAGATCAGCCTATCAATTTCGATTTTACTGTCGCTGACTGTGTTCTTCCTCCTGCTGGCCGAAATTATCCCGCCCACATCGCTCGTGGTACCGCTTCTCGGTAAATTCGTCCTTTTCACCATGGTCCTAGACACCGTCAGGTACTAACCATCGACATGTATTTCAATTCTCAAGAGGTCTCGACCGAATAGCAAATGACATTTTGTCGAATGAAATATATCAGGACCGATTACAAACGAATCGCGAGCGATGCATGAAGAGTTACGGCTGTTTAACATTGAATAACTACTATGAATAGAATAATAATAAATAAATAAAAGTTTTGTGATAAAATTGGAAGTAAGGTTTGACTGTGTTCAACCATTTAATATATAGTTGATTAAAAATAACGCTATAAATTAACGCAACGTCTGTTTTCAGTATATGCGCAACCGTGTTAGTCCTCAATGTTCACTTCCGGTCGCCACAGACGCACGTGATGGCACCGTGGGTCCGTCGTGTTTTTATCCATGTTCTGCCAAGACTACTGGTGATGCGCAGGTATAATACGTCTTCGAAGAGATCCGATTACGATTCCAGGCAAGATATGATTCTACCGAGCATTTGGACCAGCCGTTGGGTCTATGCCAAGCAGCATTAGAACGTTCATTAGTGGCCTCGCACGTGACGTTAGTGTCACGTCGTGTCTGCAACCATTAGCACAATCCACCATTCTCTCTCTCTCTTTCTCTGTCTGTCTGTCTCTATCTCTCTCCCCATTTCTCTCTTTCTCTGTCCACCAAATTAGAATTGAATTTGTATTTACTGATCTCCAGTTTTGGCCGAGATGCAAACAAACAGCAAAATATCGAAATTTGTTTCTTTGAGATGAAAAAAAAGTATGTCATGGAAGAAGAAAGAATTTAAAGAAAAGGAAGATATTGGAAATTTGTCGAAATATTGAAAATGATGTATCGAGACTCGAAAGCTGAGATCCTGATTAATGAGAAGATGAAGAAATTTGCACAAGGGCGGGGACTGAAAATTCGCAGAACCATTTATCTCGTTCAAACGATCTGGAATCCTGCACATTAGTCACTGTAAATGCTAACACGGTAGCTCGACAGTTCCATACAACGTTATGCACAGTTCAGCACTACGTCGTAGCACCTTGTTGGAATTTTTTATACACGACATGCAACGTAATGTTCCCAGTAATTGATTACATCGATTATAACAAATTGTCACTATGTCCACCGACATGCTTGATACCATCGCCTTATAACAATCATATCGCCTGTACAAACGAAATACCATTCCAGTAACGTGATAGTATAGAGCGTAGTTTCACGAGCTTAAAAGTTAATCTCCATCGTTAGTGAGTATCAAGATACTTCGGAAGAATAAGCTTGTTGATATCACCACTACGAATATATTTAAACAGGCTGTAAAAATGTGTACACAAATTCTTTGAATTAGTTGTTAAAGTTTTGATGAGGATTGCCTGCTAATTTTATTCATTTAAAAAAATTGTAGTAATATTAGAATCTTTAAAAGAATACCTGCTGGAAAGTTAAAAAATATAAATTGAAACATATTTTATTTGTATATAAATTGTTTCTATCTGATGTTAATTGTATTTTTTATCGATACTTTAACAGGCCGCAGTACCAAATAGACAAACGTAGCATGGGTGGCCATCACAGTCAACGAATGATGGTTAGAACGTGCAATGGTCTCGAATTACGAGATCCTTCTCTCTTTGTAGAGACTTCGGCTTCGGAGTTGGTCGAATCCTCCGTTCTGTTCCCGAGTCTCGATTCGCGGGACGAATTACACCCTCGGTAAATGTTGTTTATATAATGTTAGTCTTTTCTCTGAATTATTGCTAATTTTCTTACAAGGCAATCATATTTTCGTAGGTAACAAGGCATAATAACGAATATTTCTTTAAAAAATATCTTAAGTAAAATAACAAAAATATTGTAATGTATGTCTATCTTAAGAAAATATACGCTTATTAGGGAATTGGAAGCTGTGAATTTAGGAAGTGCGTGTCGCATTCACGGTTCACCAGCGGCCACGGCTGCTCCTCCACCGCAACTGCTGACCGAGGAGAGCGTGGACGCTCTCTGTAACACTCTTCATCATTGGCATCACTGCCCAGAACTGTATAAGGCTATCGAAGGCATTCGTTTTATTGCTGATCACACAAAGAGAGAAGAGGACTCTACCAGAGTATGCAAACTTTGAATTTTCTTTGTAAAAGATAATAAAAGGTTGAAAATATTCGATCACCTAATTTAACGTTATACTAATATTCAATTAATTTAGGAATTATTCATATAATTAATTTAATTGTCATTTCTTTAGGTCAAAGAAGATTGGAAGTACGTCGCGATGGTGCTTGACAGGTTATTCCTGTGGATTTTTACACTAGCCGTGCTTGTCGGTACA